CAAAGGATGTGCTGGGTGGATTGGGGACCAGAGGAGCCCCAAAAGACTTGTTTGGGTTGGAAACCAAGGGGGTCCCAAAAGATGTGCTGGCCAGGCAGGAGGCTGCCAGGTAGCCAAAGGATGAGTTGGTCATGCTGGTGACCATGGAGGTCCCAAAGGATGCACTGGCTGGGCTGGGAACCAAGGGGGTCCCAAAGGATGCAGTGACTGGGTTGGGGATCCCAGGGGTCCYAAAGGATGCACTGGATGGATTGGGGAACAAGGGGGTCCCAAATGATGCAGTGCCTGGGTTGGGGACCACAGGGGTCCCCAAGGATGTAGTGACCGGGTTGGGGACCGAGGGCAGCTTTGGCATCAGCGTGGATTTGGGGGCTCTCTCGGGGATCGCCAAGTARTTGGAATTCTCTGCCGGGGCAGCAGGCGGGTAGGGCTCAGTTGCYGCTGGCCACTGGGGCGGGTACTCCCAGGCCTCCCTCCGCTCCGGTAGCCGCCCAGGGGTTCCTTCGCTGCCCTCCCCAGCTCGGAGCGGGGCGGCGGGGGCGGTGCCACCGGCAGAGCCACCGCTGCCCACCGACACTCGCCGGCCGCCGAGCTGCTCCTGCTGCTGCTCGCCGCTCCTCGCTGCCGGCTCCGCAGGCCGTGGGCGGGCGCTGCTGCCAGCCGGGGCTTCGGCGCGGGGGTCCCTGCTGTCGCTGCCGCTGTGCCGCTGCCCCAGCGACTCCGGCCCCTCGGCGGAGTGGAGCGCTCTGGTGCCGCCATGGCCGCGCACCTCCTTCACCTCCACGGGACTCGTCGGTGGCGGAGGGAGGAGAACGGTCTTCTCTGTCCGCAGCACCGCGCTGCTCTGGGCCGGGGAGCTCTCCCTGACCACCGGGGACGGCCGGCCCACCAGGACGTGGAGATGTGTCTCCACATGTGGCACCCCCTCCGCCACCGGCGCCCGTGGGGGCACCCTGAGCTCGCTCCGCTCCCGGCGCGGGGGGGATGCCGGCAGCTCCTCGGTGGGGGCCGCTTCTCTCCGCGTGGCCTGGACCCTCGTGATGTTGATGGGGGAGCTGTGGGAGGGCGCGGGCCGGCTGGCGGTGGGCTTTGCGGACCCCTCGGCACATACCGGGGCTGTCTCTCGGCCGGGGGCTGCCAGCACCTCCTCCCCCGCCGGTCCCGGCGCTGGGTCCCGCCGGCGCACCGAGGCGCAGTGGATGACCAGCGGGGCGGCCGGGGGCGGCTCCCCGCTGCTCGCCGGTGCCACGGTGCCGCGGGAAGTGCCGGCGGTGCCGAATTTGAGGCTGTAGCTGCTCTTCACCAGCTTGCGCACGTCCCGGGGCTGCGGGACGCGCCCCTTGCTCTTCTCTTCTGGCTTGGGCGGCGTGGCCGGCGGGGACCCGCGGGGTGCCGGGACGCCGGGGCTGGGSGGCCGGCGGGGCGCTGCTGGCGGCTTCTCGGGCTGGTTCTGCGGCAGMGTCCGCACCTCCTGCGCCCGCGAGGAGCCCAAGTGGCGGCGCGGAGCGGTGGCGGGGTGCGCCCGGCTCTCGGCCTTGAAGGGGACGATTTGGGAGTGGATGGGGCCGATGGCTCGCTCCTTCAAGCTGGGCCACGGCCTCGGCCCTCTCCCAAATCTGGGGGCGACATCCAGCACCTTCCCCACGCCAGGCTGCGCTTCGAACAAGGCGCGCGCTCGCTGGTAGCAGATCCTCTCCGACGTGTGCTCCTCAGGGGCAGCGGGCAGCCAGCGGCCCTCCAGCACCTCCTGGTACTTCATCCGCTGGTTGAGCTCGTTGAACGTCTTCCTCAGGTTGCAGACGGTCTCCCTCGTCTCCTCGCTCAGCACCACGCCCTTGGTGGGATGGGTGGTGGTCGTGTTCCCCGCGGCCACCGTGGCCGCCGGCATCCCGCCGCCCCGCAAGTCCTCGGCCGAGAAGCTGCAGTCCGAGCGGGACAGCGAGCTGGACTTGCCCTCCAGGCCATCCCCCAGCAGGTCGGTGCCGGCGGAGGACGGCCCCGAGGAGGTCGAGCTGCCCCGCAGCCCCTTCTGCTCCATCTTGATCCGCTGCTCGTACTGCATCTTCTTGGCCAGCACGTTTTTCACCAGGCACGAGGCCGCCCTGGTCCTGTCGGTGTCATTGTCCAGGGAGGCCGCCTTCATGAACTGCTGGTAGTTGAGCCTGAAGTCCTCGCCGATGGCTCTGCCCTTGCTGGGGGGCTCCTTCCTGGAAGGGGGCTGGGGGGCTGGGCCATCCCCCCGGGGGCCGAAGCCCGGCTCCTTCCTCTCCTTCCTCTTCAGCAGGATCTGGCGCTTGGGCACTGTCCTCTTCTTGCCGTAGCCCTTCCTGGCCTCTCCGCTCTCCAGCTCCACGTCCACGCACTCGAACTGCTCCTTGCCCAGCAGCTCCCCGTCCACGCCGGCGGGGAAGGGCCAGCCCAGCCTGCCGTGCGGAGCCGTCGCTGCGCCCCGGGGCTCCCCGGCGCCCGCCGGCCACCGCCGCGGCCGCCCGCCGTCCTCCGACAGCGAGTTGGAGAGGCTGGAGGAGGTGTGGGAGCTGCACATGTCGAGGCGAGCTCCGGGGAGCCCCGAGAGGCTGCGGAAAGCCCTGGCCGTCAGCGCCTGCACCTCACCGTCCACCTCGTCCGAGTCGCTGGGAGCCCCGCCGAGCATCGGCCCGGGCTGCCGGGGCACGGCCGGCTTCCCGCCCGCGGCCGCGGCCGGCACAGGCTGYCGGTCCGCACCCAGGGGACCCATCCTGCCCCCCTGCCCCGGCGCTGGGCTATTCTTAGCCGCGCTGGACAGCTGAGCCCGCTGCGGGCGGGCGAGGGGGCCGGGCGGCGGGGGGACGCTGGGGGCCCCCGGCGGAGCCCAGCGCCCCGGGACAGCCCGGCCGGGCGATCCCTCCTCGTCCAGGAACTCCAGGCAGTCCTTGTAGGTCTCCGTGCCGTCCGAGCACAGGGCGGAGTGGTAGGAGGACACGGAGGAGCTCGACATGCTCTTGGTGAGGTCGTCGCGGAGKAGCCCCGGGAGGTATCCGTCCTCCTCCCCCTGCTCCGCGGAGCGCCGACCGTCCCCGCCCGTGCKGGRACCCTCGCCGTCGGGGCCGGGCAGSTCGGCGGGGGACGGCACCACGGGGTCCCTCTTCCCGCGGGGCATCGTGGCAGGGAGGAGCCTGGGGGCCGGGAGCCCTGCTCGGTGCCGGGGCCGCTCTGCCGGGGCCGGCGGCTCGACCTTGTGGCTCCGTGGCCGTCCCGGCGGCTGGACCCGGCGGCGGCACAGAGCGAGCCCTCGATCACATGGACTCGGCGGGCGCCAGCCGGGGCAGCCGATGCCAAGCGCATTGCAGGGATGCCACCGCCGCCCCCAGTCTCGGGACCTGCTGGGGACCGCCGGCTCATCCCTCAGGCGGCGCCGCTCTCCCCGTACCGCAGCACAGGCACCGGGGCATCCCCGCAGCCCCTACGCGTCCCGAGTGTGTGATCCCGTGGAACGGGCTGGGCTGCCCCGGAGCTGGGGGACCTGCAGACCCTTCTGGGGACATCCCATACCCAATGCTGAGGGCAGGATCCCGAGCTGCTGCTCCATCCCCACCACGGCTCCTTTCCCCGTGCCTCTGCCTACCTTGCCACAACAATGGTGTGTCCATTTAGGACTTTCCCCAAAACCCACCCTACCCCGAGCAGGATCCCCCATATCTAATCCAAGAAGCCAGGAGCCAGCTTGAGGCTTGGGATCAACTCAGGCATGAAGCCTCGGGACTCACACTGCTCGAGCATGTGTCTTTTTTGGGGAGACCCCAAGGCCAGTGGCTGGTGTGGCACAAGGGTCTCTGCAGCTTGCCCACCCCAACTGCTGCTGGTGCAGCCCAGTCCCAGCTTTTGGGGGAATTTTTGCCATGAAACAGCAGCAGCAGGTGCTCCCCAGCACTGCCAGCCCTGGAGCAACCCGATGCCCAAGTCCTCTGGGTTCGTGCTGGGACTAAATTTAAACCTTGGCAAGGAGGAAAGGAAAGCTTCCCAGAGAGCTGGGCTGGCACTTAACCCTTCACTGCTGAGCTGGGCTGGGTTTGCAAGGTGGTATTTGTGCCCAGAGGGTCTGCAGGGGACCTGCCATGGGCAGTGCTCACTGGTGTGGTGACCTTGGGCAAGCAAGAGTGTGTATGTGGGATTTCAAATCCTCAAATCCCACCCTTTCTCCAGGGAAAGGGTSGTCAGGTGCTGGTATAGACTGCCCAGAGCAGTGGTGGAGTCACCATACYTGGAGGGATTTAAGAGATGTGTAGATGTGGTTTAGGGGTGACCTTGGCAGTGCTGCGGGAACTGTTGGACTCAATGATTTTAAAGGGCATTTCCAGCATAAATGATTCTGTGGTTCTACGGAATATTGGTTCTACAGCTGGGTCCTGCTGGCTCCAGTTCCAGGGATGTGCAGTCCCTGCCTRGTGCTGGATTTGCAGTGCCAGGGGATGCGGGGCAGTGTGGGGCAGGGATGTGGTTCCCCTCCAGCTGAGCTGACTCCAGCTGGTCCAGATTACAGCAAGATGCTTTTTCATTCCCTCTCCTCCACCGAGGGTCATGCCCAGCACCCCAGAGCCACCCGCTGGTGGTGSGAAAGGGGGCTTGGTCCAACCCAGRGYCACTGGTGTCCCACGAGGCCTCAGCAATACCCTCAGTGCAGGGGCTGGGGGCAGAGGGGCTCGGGGRAACAGGGCTGCAGAAGCTGGTGAAGCTCTGGATAAGGTACAAGAAGCACTCCAGCGGGAATCAATCCCTGCAAACACAAAAGAAAAKGTCCCTGTGCTATTGCCTGCAGGTCCTGCTGTCCTGGCAGTGATGGGAGGCAGATTTAGGGTGATGAGATGTCTAATTGCTTTAAAGCTTTCA